CGGGGTGGGTGGGCAAGAGGGTAGAGGGTTGGGATGGAGGTGGGGAATATAATGAGGAAGGTTGATATAGAGTTTTGAAAAGTATTTTTTCATTCTTTTGGTAGGGAAATTATTTTCTAAACATACCCTTAATCATAACAGGGTAATTAGCTTTTTCTCAAAGTACATTTGATTTTTTTACTCCCTATATTTTAATTTATCCGGTGGTTGTTAATCCAATACGAAATTAAAGAAAGAAAAAAAGACATATAAACTTGTGTTTTAAAACATCTCATAATGTTTATGTGGTTACAAAAGTATATCATTAAGAATAAAATAAGAAACTAAAATTAAATTATTATCTAAAATGGAGAGATTTCTGCTTGGAAAAGATTCATAATTTCCCAGCAATAATTACATTTTATCATCTCCAACCAAAATCCAATTCGAGGTATGTTTGTGCAGATGACTTTCCTCCTTAATTTTAGATATAAACCCTAAATTAGTTGCTTGGAATTCAAATTTCTATTTGCCCTTATATTTTATGGGCCGAATCACATGTTTTTCGGCTCTTTTTATGAAAATTTCTTTTTCATAAAGTTAATGCACCTAAACACACGTATTTTGTATCTTATCTATAGCAAGTAAAATGATATGCGAATATATATTATATACTTTACACATATATATAGCAATTAAATTTTTTTTACTAAATTACTGCTTAGGGTTTGTCTTCAATACATTATATATATAATATATATTAATTATTCAAGACGAAAATGTGCATTCCTTTTTAGATGCATTTTTTTTCCCCATATTTCGACTACAATCTCCATCTTCTGATTTGTACTATGGAATTCATCAGGTTCTGCATGTATTTAATCAACTGCAATTTCAGTTTTTTATAATCTAGATTGAAATATATTACTTATTCTAAAATGAAAAGGTACATTCTTTTTTATTTGTTTATCTGTCAACAAAGTAAAGAAGTGTTCGCCAAGCCTTAAACTAAATACTTTTTTCTAAAGTAGAAAAGAATTTTTATATACTTGAAATCATTTGTATTTTTTTTTGAAATAATTTTTTCATGGGCAAGAAATATTTTGGATATATTAAACTATAAAATATCTAAGATTAGTGTCATATGAACAATAATTACATAAAATCTGCATTATGTGTTATTTGGGAAAGGCAGACATTCAAATATTATATTTTACTCATTGGTGCTTGATTGTTTAATATAATCTGTGACAACACTCTACAATTGAGAATTTCCCTGATTCAATATTATTTATGAATTATTTGTTTCTGGGGCGATCGGATTCGTGTGACTGTTGGTCGATCTCTTATACGTATGTTCAAACCAAAGATAGAGGAATTGGGTTTGTACTTTATGAAGAACTTTTTGGTTGGACCAAATAATATGAAACTTAAATACACGCGGCATAAATTGAAGTTGGCATTTACTCATAAGACGACTGGAGAGGAATCAAATGATCAGCTTTTTTGGTATGAGTATCTTCGACTTAAGACCTTATGAGTATTTAGTAAATCAACTTGATGTTGATGAAAGTGAACTCTTCGGTTATTATTTCTTCCGCAGTTCTTTTAGTTGAATGTCTTATCAACTTTGTAGTGACTTTTAAAAAAAATAATATTATAGATGTCATAAGAGAGGTTGTAAGTTATGGTGAAGTAAAATCACATAACCAAGGTGATAAGACCAGTACTTTTATGAATGTGGAGCTTGAAGATCATGAGTAAGATTGCGTCTATGACTTTACTTTGTTATATATTTTAATAAGATTATTTATCATGTGATTAAGTTTTTATATAATTTATGTAGGAGAAATAATATTTCGGCAATTTTTGAGGAGAATTCGTAGACCAAATCTTGCTACATTTGGAGGAATCACCCTATCAGCCAATCATAGTGGTTATGCAGATGATAAAATGTCACGACCCGGATTTTCCACCATCGGGAGTCGTGATGGCGCCTACTATTGGAGCTAAGCCAGCCAAGTATTAAAGCATTTCTGATAACATTCGTAACAATATAAACAAAACGAGAAAATTAAATAAAAGCGGAAGTTTCAACTTATATAAAAACTGAATAGAAATTTGCGGAAAGTTAAAATAATCCTCTACCTAAGATTGGTGTCACAATGCTCACGAACTTCTAAGATTTACTAAATATAATCGCCTGAAAGAAAATTATAAACTGTTTGCTTCAGTACAAAAGATAACAAACTGAATAAGGAGAGAGAGACTCCGGGCCTGCGGGTGTCAGCAAGGCTACCTCGATGTCTCTGGACTGAAGTCAGCTCCCGATCAAATCCTACTGTTGAGGTCCAAAAGCTACTCCGGGATCCGTGCAAAAAGATGCACAGAGTGTAGCATCAGCATAACCGACCCCATGTGCTGGTAAGTGCCTGGCCTAACCCCGACAAAGTAGTGACGAGGCTAGACGGGACCTACCAAAAACAACCTGTGCATATATATACAAAAAAAGGAAATATACAGAATTTAAACAGCTAAGAGGGGGGG